TACTACATCCATAGGATCGAAATATACAATTATTATGGATAATCAAAATCTATTCTATTTCCAATAAAGGTCCGTACAATTTCCATTCTATATATTATGGCCTTCTATGGATATTCAAATTTTTTTCCAGTGTAAAAGACTTTAAAATTATGCAAATGTAGTTAAATGGGGAGAAATATAAAATTGAAGAATCATAGCCTATAATGACTTCTTATGAAGTCATTGGTTCGAGGTAAGTATTATAGCGCTATTAGAAATTACGTCGATTGTGGTTGGGGGTTAATATGATTTATATAACAACTGTACTTACGCTCACCATAACAAACTTTGCATGTTTGAGCACTTTTTTACCATTCATATTTACCAATATCAGAAATTTTCTCTAAATATTACTGTTATCACATAGCTGATAGTTGCATCAATCTATTTTGTAGATTTCAGGATCATGGCGTTCAAAAGGAGGACTTTTAAAAATTTAATTGCAAACTATAAAGATTAGGATGGCAACATTGCAACCTGAGATTTGAACTTATTTGAGGTTGCTACAAGATTTTTACTTCTCTTCTGATAGTTCACCTAGCAATGTTCAAAATATCGTGCCCGTTTGTCAAATAGCTGCATATTGTTGCCAGCTAATCTGTTGTGTTTTTAAATGTGTATGAGTGGTCTATTCCCGTCTTTGTGTTGTCGACTGTCCAATTTTTATCCTACTGTACTGTATTGCATTTACTGTTTTATTCATGCTGGTTTTTTCACATCAGTCTCTTCACTTCGTTACAGCATTGCTGATTTCAATTGATATTTTTTACGCTATTTTAATCCCGAAAACTTGAAAAATATATCCTGTGTTAAGTACTTGAGTGATTCATGTTTGAAGCGGTTCATAAAACTAAAATAAATATTTAAGGTTTTAAACTTAAGGTGATCATATTCAAAAATAATTCAGACAAACCTCATTTGAAACGGATGTAGTAGTCTATAAGGCCCTGCGACGAGCGAAATGCGACAAATTTCGCGCGAAAAGGTTGAACGCATGAGCAACACGATTTTGGAATGTTTCTCTGTGAAATATTTCTCTTCGTCGGGTAGTTGAATTCGTTTCTACTCCATTGCGAAATGGAAATAGCGAAGCCAATCAAACGCTTGTGTTTTGGATGAAAAAATAGCGAAACCAATAAAATGCTGGTGTTTTGGCGAATTTTTTCTCTACTGTGGAAATCACTACGAAAGAAAATTTTCGCCCAAGTGTGTTTTCGCGCGAAATATTTCGCTCGTCGTCGTGGAATTAGTCCTTTAGACCACATACAGTCTGTTTGCTGCGTTTATTGGAGATGAAAACATTTATTTACCTGCGACATCAGTTGATTTCCAATTTATTGCCGCTGACAAAATCAAGAAGTGAAACATTACTTTTTAGAGCTTTCAGTCTATTTCTTCGAAAAACAATGGAATCAAAATCAACATTTTGCAAGCATGAAAGAGCCAATAACTTTTTTTATAGGTTAGCAATATTATACTTCATTTCAAAATGGGAGTGTATTAACTATAATAGCCAATACTTTGAAAGGCCGTGTTAGCTAGATGCAATATTTATTAATAAGATATAATTAAATAACAAAGTACACCAGTTTTTTTGCAATTCGTAAGTACGCTGGAAAGGACCTTTCTCACTTGCAGCGCGCCAAATCTACCGGTGTATTTTTTGACCAGGTTGTGATTGCGAGGGGGGGGGAGGGAGTCATTATTCTAGCCAATAAAAGCGCATATATAAATTATAGTAAATTAATTATTCAAATGTAGTTACAGTATTTAGGCTTTAGACTTATTTAATACAATTAAAAATAAAACAAAGTCATTTCAAAGTAGAAATATGGTTAGTTCTCGAAGATGCAATAAAATATTGGCAACATGGGCGAAATGTTGTTTAACTGAGTTAATTTTCTAACTAAAGCGGTATTTTTTCCCCCACAAGAACAGCAAACAACATTTGTTAGAATGTTTAATAAGAGTGTAGTTTCACTACAATGAACTCTTCTAATTATTACGGTAATATATAGTTGAATGTTTTCGCAAACATTCGTCTTTTTATGTCCAGGAAAGAATCGCCGTCGCTTCTTTACATCTTCCATGTCTTTGCCACATTGTAAACACAACGTGTCATGGAATTTGGAGAAAGATCGTCTTGAAAATATAGTCGGCATAGAAAGAAGTATAAATCTACCGTAAATTTATACGACATTTTAGTCTAAATTGATAGCATTTACGCTTATGTTAAAACATTTAACCGTTGATTGACAACTACCTACAAAAATACTAACCAATCAGTTTTTTCCGTTTACCAGTGAACGGATTAATTCAAATCTGACCTTAACGGTCAACATGGTAACGCTGCCCGAACCCCAATCCGGGACGAAACGTCAGAAACTGACCACATCCAAAAACGACGCTTTCGCCATACTGCTATCTACTAAACCATAAAAGCTTTGGCTATTCTGAGGTGCTTATATGGTTCAGAGATGGCACTTTTGGGGGTGGTCATTGGTAAGTGTGAAATGCCTAGCACTAATATTTCACAAGAAAATGACCATGCAATAATCATAGTTAAACGTCAATTTGTGGCTTGCAATTTCAGATAAACAGCAGTAGACTTACACTACCTTTTTCCCTAAATTTATTTGATAGAAACATAATTAGTACTTATTTAAATATATTATCACTGGTTTGGTGTAAAATAGTTAATATTTTCTGACCGAAATAATAATTTGAAATGAGCCTACCTCCTGCAAATGGAGGTATTTGACCAAGTTCTCCACTTTACTCCACTGTTTATCGGCGATCTCGTCGATATCCTACGAAAAATGTAAGTAATCTCAGACATACTGGTATCAAGAACATTTTAAACAAGTTTCAACTTGGTTTCAAGTAGATCATACTTGTTTAACCATCGACAAGGTAAATCCACAACTTTGTGCAAATTCGGCGCCATTTTGTCATCGATTCAGCCTTGTTACTCTTCCATCCAAGCCATTTCCATTCCACTAATAATAAATTTAACCCTTTATAACGGTAGGAAACTAAAATATTTAAACAAAATATAAGAAATGCGCCATTTTATCATCCTGTAAAATTTTGCTCACGAGTCTTTCAAAACATTCCGTACAAATATATATCGCGTGACAAAGTAACAGGGACGTGCAAATATCGCGTGACAAAGTGACAGGGGGGGTGAATTATTTCACGAAGATAGAAGAAGCTGCGTGAAATAGACTAAAAGCTAAATACAATCATACAAACGTTTGTTTTATTTCTTGTAGCGACACATATATATACATATGATTATTTATTAATATGAAAAAGCCATACAAATTAAATGTTGATTGTTTGTTTTACCATGATGTGTGGACTTTCCTTTTATTTTTCAAGTCTCTATCCCCCCCCCCCCTGCCAAGTTCCTGTTGCTAAACCACACGAGATTTGTACGAAATGTTTTGAAGGACTCGTAAACAACACTTTACAGGGTGATAAAATGGCGCATTTCTTATATTTGTTTAGATTTTTTAGTTTCCTACCGTTATAATGGGTTAAAGTCGATGGTTAGACAGGTATGATCTACTTGAAACCAAGTTGAAACTTGTTTAAAATGTTCATGATACCATTATGTCTGAGATGATTTACATTTTTTGTAGGATGTCGACGAGATCGCCGATAAACAGCGGAGTAAAGTGGAGACCTTGGCCAAATACGTCCATTTGCAGGAGGTAGGCACATTTCAAATTATTATTTCGGTCAGAAAATGTTAACTATTTTACACCAAACCAGTGATAATATATTAAAATAAGTGCCAATTATGTTTCTATAAAAAAGATTTAGGGAAAAAGGTAATGTAAGTTCAGTGCTGTTTATCTGAAGTTGCAAGCCACAAATTGATGTTTAACTATGATTATTGCATGGTCATTTTCTTGTGAAATATTAGTGCTAGGCATTTCACACTTACCAATGACCACCCCCAAAAGTACTATCTTTGAACCATATAAGCACCTCAGAATAGCCAAAGCTTTCATGGTTTGGCAGACAGCAGTATGGCGAAAGCGTCGTTTTCGGGTGTGGTTAGTTTCGGACGTTTCGTCCCGGATTGGGGTTCGGGCAGTGTTACCATGTTGACCGTCATGGTAAACTTGCCATAAAACAGTTGAGATTATCTGTCCTAAATGAAATGCATACAAACTCATATACAGGTCCTAGACTATGTTGACGACCGGGGGAGGGACAAACCAAAATACGTGAAATCGTGCGGAAAATCGAAAGCCAAGTCAAAGGTGCGGACAGTTCGGACAGTTCATCGAAGTAGCTGAAAAGGATGATGATACAATTGCAAAGGCATTGACACATCTAGAGGAGCGTGGGGACGAACCCCCCTTTACATTCGGATCGATAGCCTCAAGGCCTCTCTCGGTGTTGTCGTCAGCGTCGAATAAATCAGCCTAACATCACCAGCAGGAAGAAAGGCACATATTGCAAAACTAAAGGCCAAACAAATCGAAATGGCGGACGGTCACGATTTGTCGATTTCACCAAAATATAAAAAATTGTCGTTCGAAAGCATTGATATCAATTCGATCAAATTGTTAAAGGATCAAGCTGACTTAGTTTATGATGGGAAACGAGTTATATGGTCTCGAGACTTTCGTTCGTTGCAGAATTTTGTTGAAAATGTGGTCGGGCTGTCTGGTACATGGAGGTCAAGCGGAGGTAAATCTAAACAGTTCACCAACTCAAATTCAAATTTTATTATGACCTGGTATCCTGGCAAACTAAATTCGCTTACATTTAACGGAAGGGATGACGAATCTTTTAGGACATGGTTGTTGAGTGTTTTGATCTTAAAATGTGTTAAGCAAACTGATACTGACGAGGGCTGTTTATTTCATGCGTTGGGTGAAACATCAGTCAAACCCAAACAACAATTGGTTAGTGTTAGTCATATAGTACAAGATCTAACCATGCTTGAGGCTAGTAAAGTATCGACTTATGGTTATAGTGATAAAGCTATAGATGAGGTACTAACGGCGAATTGTTCAACCCTTGATGAGCTTGAAGATTTTATTGACCGATCTTTTCAAAATGCGAATATTCTGATGCAAAATAATAATAATACCAATATCTTCCCTGCCCAATCTATTGACAGCTCTACCCCAGTTCGGACACAAGATGAGGCTATGTTGGGCATTACAGTGAAACAATTTCGCATGTTCAAGGATAAGATTGAGTCAGATATTGCAGTCTTGATAAATAATCTTTCAGAACAGACTCAAATTATAAATTATTATTAAAGGTTTATTAAGAAACACATTTTGGCACCCGAAGGTGAATTGCAATATGCTTACAGAAACATAATAAAAGATGAAAATCAAATAATATAAATATAAATATATCGTATATGTACAGTTGTTAAAATACTACAAATTATTTACTATTAAAATTAGCAGTCATTGCTGGTATAAAACTAGTTTTAAAACGTTCCGTTCTGCATTTAGTTAATGTGAAGTTAGAATTGTTTCTTAAGTCCAGTTCATGCGATTCTTCACGGAGTGGGGGTAAGAGGTGGTTGAGGTGAGCATCGTGTTTTAAGATCTTTTTGAATGTTTTAGCACATAGCTCTTGACGTCTGTCGACAAGGCGCTTTCATTTAGCGATGTTGAGAGCATCTTCGTAATCTGTTGTCGGATAAATAATACGGAACGCTCTTTTTTGAACTATTTCAATTTTATCCCCCAAACACTTTGGTAACATGGTGTGCCAGACAGGACTGGCATATTCTAAGATGGAGCGCACCATAGAAAAGTAGACTAATAAGAGGTCATTGGGGGGAAGACCACAGCGCTGTAGGACACGAATAATGTATAAGCGTTTTGAGGCTTTTTTAACTAACGCTTCAGTGTTATCTTGCCATTTCAATTTATTGTTCATGGTTAAGCCCAAAATTTTGAAAGAAGGAACTAAGTCTAGAGGTAAACCATCAATGAGGAGTCAGGGGATGTCATTCTCACTACGGACGAAACTCACTATCATTTCTTTGCATTTCTTTCCGTTCAATTTCATGTTGTTATTAACAGTCCATCTTTCAATTGTGTTAAGATCAGATTGTAGGACTGAAACTTCATTTTTCTTTAAGGACTCCGATATTGTTACGTCATCCACTTATTTCCAATGGTCAGTGCTAGAGGATGCCAGTTCAAGATCGTTGATCATAATTATGAACAAAATAGGGCCCAATTTGGTTCCTTGAGGGACACCTGCGTTATTGATGCCCCAATCAGATTGGAAATTGTCAATCTTTACCGATTGACGGCGATTTGAGAGAAAGCTGCATATCCATGGAATAAGCGACAATCTGACGCCAAGGGCCAGCAACTTTGGGACCAGCATATTATGGTCGATGGGGTCGAACGCTTTACTGAAATCGAGGAAAACGATCCGCAAATAGTTCGATTTATCATCCAATGTTCTCAGCCAATTGTTGATCATATCGATCAAGCAA